AAAATAAAAAAATTAAAATAAAAAATGGATTAAAATAAAATAGAATAAAATAATATAAAATAAAATGAAATAATATAAAATAGATTAAAAGATATAAAATTAAATTAAATAAAATAAAATAATATAAATATAAAATAAAATAAAATAATATAAAATATAAAAATTGAATTAAATAAAATAAAATAGAATAAAAAACAATAAAATTAAATTAAATTATTAATATGAACAAAATATAATAAAAAAATAAAATTAAAAAAAAATAAAATAAATTAAATTAAAAACAAACAAAATAAAATAATTAATTTAAAATAAAATAAAACAAATTAATTTAAATAAATTATATGAATTCAAATGTTGCATATTTAGCCTTCATTGATAGATTACAGATATACACTAATCCGCTTTTTTTGTGTGTGTTTAAAAAATAAGCAAGTACTGTGTTAAAAGAAAATAAAAATATGCTTGCTTATATTTAAATAGCTCACATACTTTGTTGTTGCAATAAAAAAACAATTACAATAAACTTTTTTATAGCAAAGCAAAATAAATATAGACATACATATGTACTAATCGTAAAATCATTGTATACACATGCTCACATACATACTGTATCTACGATAATAAGAAAAAGTAGCAAGAACCAAATAAGCAGCAAAACTCAAGCAATTAATGAAATGAAAGGTGAAAAAGATTAGAAAAAATATATAAAATTCAAGAATGAAAAATCTCAGACAACAAAATAAACATAACCAATGAAAAACGAATTTTTAATTGCTAACAATCAATTTAATTGCAGTTCAATTATCATCGAATGATCATAAGAAATAACATTAACAACAACAACGTTAGATAGAGTAAACTTAAACAATGCTTCGAAACACACACACACATATATATACGCTCATCACAAAATTGTAAAGGAAAATGATCAGCATCAGCTTAAGGCAACTAATGAAATCGATAGACAAGCAGCTAAGCCAATAACAAATTGTATTACATATATGCGGACAGCTTACTGGCTGACTGACGTTAAACGATCAGCAGTCGTCAGAGACACCAAAACTACAATATATGAACATTTGTTTTTATGTTCATACAAATCGATTCGATCGATCTTAACTATCGATCAGTAAACGATCATGTTGATCATAATATATGTATGTATGTATGTATTTATGTTTAATGAAGCGGTTGATGAGGATGAGAATGGGGCACAGCGGAACTTAAACGGCGAATAATTACTGAAAACGAAAGTGTTAAATGCTCAACTAAGCAGAACAACAACAAAATCAATAAAATAGATTTACCGCAAAAAAAAGACAGTTTAATAATGCAATTGCAGCGAAGCGATTTGCACAAAAAGAAAAAAACCTCGATCCACTTACATCAGTTGTAAATATATTTATATAGGATTTGTTAGTACAAAGCAGGCAATTAATATTGGGGCGATCGTGCAGCAAAATTTTGTTATTAAATATGCTTGAAGCGCTGCTGCACAACAATATCATATGCCAACAATCGATCAACGACCTGGCAAAGCCGCTTACACACCTTTTAGGTATATTTATCTAATTACAGTCGGTATAAAAGAAGGAAAAGAGAAAAAAATAAACACCTCAAATGAAATTAATTTAAAAGCGCACAGTTAATAGTCATAAAATTTAGTTAAATAAAAGAGTAATTTGTGCGCACGCGTTTTTTTTTTCTTCCAACATATTTCACTCTTCCCTCAAACATGATCAATTTAATTTTTTACGATTTCGCCCCAAAGGAATCAATCAAACTACAAATGATCGACATGTTGATTGAATGAAAACGTTGTTGTTATATTGTTGTGGTATGCATATTGCTTCAATGCATAAACACACATGAGCGAAGTGAAACAAAAAAAAAAAATAGAATACAAAAAACTACCAACGCCTGCAGCCCAAAACTTACTGATCGTGCGTACGATCGATCGGATCGTTCGCGGATCAGTTGCCAGGCGTCCGGTATCAAACAAAAAAAATTTAAGTGAATAATGTTGAGAATAATAATAAAAAGTGAGAAATTACCAAATGATTGTTGATATGAATACACACACAAACATGCATTCTCATAATGATACTCGAAGTGATCGAGTGATTGTTGCAACAATAAAAAGTGAGAAATTACTAAATGATTCTACTTACAAAGGTAAATTATATAAACATATACATAGGCATGTACATGTGTTTCTTCTCGCATGCAATTTAAAGGAATTTCAGTTGTTGATTTAATGATCATAGTGATCGAGTGATCGTTGCAAGTTAAAATTTATTGGTATTTGTATGCGTGTTTGTATGCACTTGCCGCAGCACGTGAATCGTCGAGTGAATGTGTGCAATTTAATGATGCTTACAAATATGCCAGTAGATGAAAAAAAATTAAAATTATGCACCATAATTATATGTTTGTATATTGAATTAGGGGGTTGCGAAAGGGTTAATTGCATGTTAAGCGGTCTGAAAGTGCGCCAAAACATTAATAGCTTTAAAAATATCATTCACATTTTCTTATTATATATAATATATGTACATACATATACAAAGCTATAATATCAAAATCTATAAATTAAATTAACAGCAAAAAACGAATAAAGAAAAATTAAAATTAAAAATAAAAATAAAAAATAAATAAATAAGTGGAAAATACAACGAAATATACAAAGTTACACAGAATAAATTAAATTAATTAAATTAAATGAAAATAAAATGCAAGAAAAAAAATTGTATTAAATAACAATGAAACAGAATTAAATTAAATTAAATTAAATTAAATAGAATATAATAAATTAAATAAAATTAGATTAATTAAAATAAAGTAAAACAGAAAGGGAAATTAAAATCAAATAGATTAAGGTAACATTAAATTAAATAAAACTAAATAAAACAAAATACAATAAAAACATAATGGAATGAAGGACAAAAAATAAAATAAAAAGATATAAAGAAAAATATTTCAATATAAAATTAAATTATATAAAGTTCAAGTGAATTAAATAAAATAAAAAACATAAAAATTTTATATCAAAAAGAAATAAAATAAAAAAATAAAATAAATTAAAATAAAATAAAATAAAATAAAATAAAATAAAATAAAATAAAATAAAATAAAATAAAATAAAATAAAATAAAATAAAAAAATAATCTAGATAAAAAAATTTTTTTAAATAAAATATATTAAAATAAAATAAAATAAAATGAAGTTAAATAAAGTAAAATAAAATTTAAATAATTTAAAGCAAATAAAATAAAAATAAAAGAAAAATTTAAATAAAACAAAATAAACAAAAAAATAAAATAAAAAAATATATAAATGAAATTAAACAATTAAAATAAAATATTATTAAATTAAATCAAATAAAAAAGGTAAACTAAAATAAAATAAAAAATATAATATGTTGTAATATATATATGTTAATATAATATATAAATTAGTATAGTATATACGTTAATATAAAAAAAATAAAATAAAATAAATAAATTTAAAACAGATTTATAATAAGCAAAAAGCTTTAAGAACTGTTATAAAGTAATGAAAAATAAACTGAGATTGAATAAAAAAAAAAAACAAATAAAAAGAGCAAAGTAAAATAAAATAAATTAAACTAAAAAATATAAAAAAATAATTATAACATTGCAATAAAATTTTAAAATAAAATTTAAAATTAAAATTAAATAAAATAAAATAAAATAGAGTAGTTGTACATACCAATTGAATGACATTATATATTCATATTCATCTTGCCCTTCTCTCTCTATCTCTTTATTTTTTTTTTTTTTTTTTGAAAAAATATGTAAATCAAAAATATTTTAAAAATATCATAAAAATAATTCAAAAATGCATTAAAACTTACTGTCATGTAAATAAAAACATTTGATATATGAGCATACCACAAGCCATCATTACGTATTGACTACGTACTCGCATACATATATGAAATGACTCACAAAAATTCGAGAGCAGCAAGCGCTGCAATACAGTAATAAAATGAGTAGCAAATCGGTGGCACAGACAGGAGCTCCTACAGAAAAAAAAATGAAAAATGAAAAAATATCCAACTAATGAGCAAATGACAGACATAACCGTTAACTGAGTGGCGCACACTGCTAGACAGACAAATGACAACATAAGTGCCAACAACATATCAAAATGAAAATAAAACTGCAGTAAAGCAGGAACGCCATAGTAACAGAGCAAAATAATACAATTAACAAAAAAAAAAAAATAATAATTATAATAATAAGTGGTAATGATGACTATCAGTATTTTGGAGACTGTAAGATGCTGCACCGCAGTGAGATGTTTTCATATCAACTGAGGCACCCATCATCAGCCTCATTATCACTAATAACAACACAATCAACGCACTCTAAGTGTCGCCACGATGCACTTCTGCATATTCCGCATCTTCCCCCCACCTTTAAATGCAGCCTCACAACAACTACGGAGCACCCTGACTGCAGCCAGCAGCCGGCGAGTCAGTCAAGAATTCAAATAAATGGCTTGGCGTAAACTTAAGTGTTGTTGTTGTATATGAAAAGTATGCGCTCAATCAAAATCACACGTGTGAAAAAAAATAATAATAAAACAAAATTGTTTTTATTCACTGCAATAAGATTTCTTTTTGCTGATTCATGCTCTGGTGCCGTCAGTTTGAGTACTTCAATGTCCCACTTTATAAGTTGGCTATAAAAATTATGTTAATTAAAATTTAATTAATTCATTATTTCGATTTTCATGTCTTTTTTTTTTTGGGGTAATAAGTGGTATTCGAAAATGAATTGTTGATACATATGTACACCAAGCGACAGAAATTTGACTCACTTATAATTAGGAGATTTCTAAAACGAATATAGAACAGGCAAAAATACACATTTATTTTCATATTAGTCACAAATATTTCTTAAGCATAATGTGATAACTATTTTAAAATTTTTTTATTTATCTCGAACTTCCTTTCTTTCTCCCATTTACAGGCACTCCCATCAATCGTTTGCCGATAATGGCAAAATCAGTTTTGGATTTATTTGAACTATACAATTTGGTTATCGCACGTGGCGGTCTAGTTGATGTGATCAATAAGAAATTGTGGCAAGAAATCATTAAAGGTCTACACCTGCCATCGAGCATTACCAGCGCTGCATTTACATTGAGAACACAGTAAGTGGATAAATTTGATATTTTAAATTAAATCATTTATAAGCAAAATTAAAATTGAAATAAAATAAAATAAAATAAAATAAAATAAAATAAAATAAAATAAAATAAAATAAAATAAAATAAAATAAAATAAAATAAAATAAAATAAAATAATATTAAAATAAATTAAATTAAATTAAATTAAATTAAACTAAATTAAATTAAATTAAATTAAATCAAGTTAAATTAAGTTAAATTAAATTAAATTAAACTAAATTAAATAAAATTAAATAAAATAAAATAAAATATGATTAAAAAATAATACGTTAGCATAGAAATTTAGTCGTTGCCTTTTCTGTCAACTTCACTTTAAGGAAGTACTACGAATGTCAACTATTTCCTACATTTAATTTTCTTCACCTCAAAAGTGCAATAAACTCATATACAATATGAAAATTTACAACGCATGCGTCTGCATTTATGCATAAATAATTACATTTGAACGAGAAACAAAAAAAAAAAAACAAAAAGCAACGAGCAACGGGCCAACAGCAGCCAAACCTCCAATAGTAATATTAGTTACCCTCAGATATACGTGTACATAAATATATAATGGCCATATTGACAGCAATAAGCACTGACTGCAGCATCTAGTTGCCCCACGTTGTTGCATTAATGTTGGGTTGATGACACATTTTATGTGGCAAACGTTTTGGTTGCGCCCTTTAAGCCAAAAGAAGGAAAGAAAAAAAGCAGTAAAAAAGCAGCAGCAACAGCAATAATATATGTAGTGGCATGCCACAAATACAACAAATATTTGCAACCACAAAACTGCCAAGATATGCATGCCTGCGCGTGTGGCTGTATGTGTGAATTGCAAAGATTTTATTGCATTTTCTTTTTATTTTTATTTTATTTTTATTTTTATTTTATTTTAAAAATTATTATTTCAATTTTTGTGTTGTTGAGGTGTTTTTTTTTTTTTTTTTTTTTATTTACACTGCCATAATGCCAAGCATTTGTGGCTTCTTGCTAACTGGCTAACTAACTAACTAACTAACTGTCTAGCCGGTCATAGTAGTTGTTGACGTGCAGCATTTTAACATTTAACAGTCAGTCTCAACAGTCAACAGTCAGCAGCAGCAGCATTTCCTATAGCAATAACAAATTATAAAATAAGTTATGTCTCGGTTTTAAAATGACTTCAAAAACATTGTGGCACATGCAACAAAGTGGCAATGTGAGTAGTTTATAATTAAAATTTCGCTTGAAAAGTAAACTTTTTTTCACAAAAACTTATACAAATACGAATACGTGAAAATAATTGTATGCGTATGCGTACACGGTGATCGTGTGTGGGTTAAAGCCAGACATGGTTTAGTGGCCAACGCCTCAAATAAAAGTTAACTGCGGTCTATATGTATTTTTTTGCTTTGTTTTTTTTTTTTTTTTTTTTTTTGTTTGGGGATGTGAAATACGTTAAAGAAATTCAATGTAAAAATTATTTATTAGAAATTTTGTGGTGCTTCTACAACTAAATGCATGTGTCTGTATGTGTATGTATGTAGAAAAAAGAAATTAAAATCATTATAATATATACAACCATTAACTGCTCATCTCATTTTCATATATCCTACATTTCCATGTTCTTCTACTGCTCTTAACTCTCTTCAAGCGTATACTTGCAACAGCTGCAACAACATTTAACAGTCTACAACAGCAGCAGTAATCTATCTGGCTAGCAGACAATGCCTAGCAATATTTATTTACTACTGCAATGCAATAATTTACAATTGCTAATAACAGATCATAAAAATGTTGGCTTTATTTGTTGCCATTCGCATTAATGTGTCCTTTGCACAGTTGCACAGCAACAAAAAAAAAGAAAAAATTGCAAATAATACATAAGTCCATTTGAGCTTTTACACTAGTGCGAGATAATATTTTTACGTTACTCATTCTGAAATGTTAACGAAAGCATAAACAATGCACATGAAAATTGATTGAAATATCAATTTTTAGTTTTATTTATTTCCTTTTATTATTTTTTATTTTTATTTATTTCCTTTTATTTTATTTTTTTACATTTGTTATTATATATAACATTACTCTTTAAAGCAGCACCCAAAAATTATCTAATATATCACAATTTATTATTATTATTTTTAATCATCTTTTTTATTTTGTTTTATTTAATTTTTAATTTATTTTTTGCTTTTTTTTCTATTTTATTTTTATTCTATTTTATTTTAATTTATTTTATTTTATTTTATTTTATTTTATTTTTTTTTTATTTTTTATTTTATTTTATTTTATTTTATGTAATGCTAATTTATTAATTTTTTGATTTTTATTATATTTTTGTTTATTGCATTTTAGTTTATTATCTTTCTCTTCATTTCAGTTAATTTAATTTTGCTGTTTTGGTTATTTTTTAGATTTTATCGTACTTTATTTTTTTCATAATTATTTTTTTTAAATTTTTTGTAATTTAATTAACGCCATTTTATAATATTTAACTTTTTCGTACATAATTTAGTTTTATTTTTAGTATTGTTTTAATTATTTTTTATATTTTTTATTTTTAATATTATTGTATTTTTTTAATTTAATTTAATTTTTTACGTTTTTTTAATTTTTTTTTTATTTTGTTTCACTCCATTCTTTTATTTTGAAATATTTTAGTTACTTTTATTCTATTTGGTTTTAATTTATTTTATTTATTTTATTTTATTTTATTTTATTTTATTTTATTTTATTATTTTTAATATTATTGTATTTTTTTAATTTAATTTAATTTTTTACGTTTTTTTAATTTTTTTTTTATTTTGTTTCACTCCATTCTTTTATTTTGAAATATTTTAGTTACTTTTATTCTATTTGGTTTTAATTTATTTTATTTTATTTTGTTTTATTTTATTTTTATTTTATTTTATTTCACGCTAATTTATTTATATTTTAATTTTTATTATATTTTTGTTTATTGCATTTTTGTTTATTATCTTTCTCTTCCTTTCAGTTAATTTAATTTTGCTGTTTTGGTTATTTTTTATATTTTATCGTACTTTATTTTTTTCATAATTTTTTTTTTAACTTTTTTTTGTAATTTATTTTATAATATTTTACTTTTTCGAACATAACTTAGTTTTATTTTTTGTATTGTTTTATTTATTTTATATTTTATGTTTTTTTAAATTTGTTGTATTTTTTATTTTTGATTTAATTTAATTGTTAATTTTATTTTATTTTGTTTCACTCTATTTTATTTTATTTTGAAATATTTCGACCGGTAACTGGCGAATGACACGCGTGACATGTTACTCCAAGGAGTGAATCGAAGCGACATTATCCCCATAGCCTTTAGACTTTCCATATCCCCACAGAGACAAGTCTAACGGTGTGATATCACACGATCTTGGAGGCCGATCGACCGGCCCAAAACGTCAAATTATCTGCTCACCGAAGTGGTGTTCTCTTAATAAATCCAATGATTGATGCGATGTGTGGGAAGTGACGCCGTCTTGTTGAAACCAAATCTCGCCGAGATCGCCAGCTTCAATATCAGGCAGCAAATAATTAGTTATTACTTCGCTATAACGATCATTTTTCAAGAAATATAGACCGATAATTCCACCCGGCCCACAAACTACACTAAACCGTAGTTTTTTTCTGGATGAAATGTCAGCTCTTGAATCTCTTCAGCTTGCTCTTCGTTCCAAGTGCGACAATTTTTCTTCTTTACATACTCATTGATTGTTTTATGCCATTTAAATGTTTACTTTTCATTTTATTTTATTTAACTTTATTTAACTTGAATTTATTTTATCTCTTGCCTTATTCTGTTTTCTTATTTTATTAATATTTTAATTTTTTATTTTTGTTTTATTTTTATCACTCACACCTCATGTGATATGAAATCGAGAATTCTCTTAATTAGAAAGCCAAATTTTATTAGTGTAATGCATTATTCTAAAATCTCACAAAAATATACTCATGCATGTAAATATATATGCATGTATGTATGTATGCGCGCGTAAAATGTTCTAATTCGTGACGATCTTCCGGTAAAAAGTCTAATTCTCACGCTTTTGTAATTTCATTATAGTTTAAAATGTATGTATGTATGTATGTATGTATGTAGGTGTGCAAGTGTGCAAGTGTGCAAGTGCACAAATATTAACCCACCTGCCAACATCATTTTCAATTATAGCGGTAATAGTAAATATTATCACTTTACTTATAGAAAACAATAGATAACAGCAAATAAATAGCCAAAATGCGAAATGAGAAAAGCAAAAAGATGAAAAAATCTGAAAATTAAAAAAAAAAATAATTTAACTTGTAATATTCACTCTGAAGACCAAAGAAAATAGAAAAAAAAATTATGGAAATAAATAAAAGAAATAATTGTAATAATAATGTATATATATATATGTTATTTTTAAGATTTTTATAGTTCGAAATTTTAAGTGCACTGACTTAAGAATTATAATTTTCACTTGGAAAGCCAGTATAATGATCGATAAAACTTAAAATATTTTACTGGCATATATTTCTCTCATTACATTTTATCATGCATATGTACATATGTATGTATGAAGATTAATACTTTTTCTTAAAACGTTCTGAAAATACCATGTAAATGCCGTCAAACGAAATTATTGCGTTTATCTGAAGTTGACACGAATGCATTTGTTGCCTCGCTCTGTATGTACGTATGTATGTGTTTACCATAATTTTTGGCACGCATCATAATTTAATTTTTATAGTTTTTTTTGTTTTTGTAAATGAATTTAATTTAAATAACTCATGATTGCAATTTTTTGCTTGATTTCTACTGAAAAAAATGTAATTTTTTTTCCTTTTTCACATTTTTTCCATACCCACTTTGTTGTCTCATATTTCGTGATTGCATACATTTTAATTTTTGTTTTCTGCTGACATTCTTACCTTTTTTAATATGTACTTATGTTGTTTTTTTCGAAATCTTGCAACATTGCAACATGAAGTTTAGGTATATT